CTGAAAAAAGAAATTTTCTGAGGAAGCCTCTTTTGTCGATCAGTTCTATAACAATTAATTATTTAATTAGCATGTGATATGGCTGCATCTACGGTCAAAATTGTTTTTTGAAAATAATATGAGATAATGGTTGTTTATTTCATTTTAGTTTATTATTATATACCATTAATCTTTACCTTTAATTATTGTAATGCAATGTAATATTCGTGTTATAATTTTTTATAATTCTCATTACAATTTTCTCACTATTATCATATTTTTTATTGTGATTTTTATTATTTTTTACTATTGTTATTGCTACTAATTAAATATCAATTATTGCTATTGCTATTGTGTCATTGTAATTATTACTAATTTTATTTTCCTTTTGCAAAATTTAAAGTCATCAAGTATTTATTGATTAATATGCACAAATGTCAACTGGTTATACCTCGAAAAAGTTACTCTCTAACGAACATCAAATCAAACTCAGGTTTGTGATAATGAAAAAAATGCGGCCGAACTTTTCCCTCAGATATTATTATCAATATTAGATGTAATCTTTCATCGTTTTCTTATTTGACTATTGTGTTGAAAGAATTGAAAGAATTTACAAGGAATTTTATAAAATTCGATTATTTCATACGCTAGAAGAATTAGAAACGATTGTTTGCGTATTTCGGTATAAATGCATTTTTCTTTCTTTCTTTCTTTTCACTAAGAGCAATAGAATCTATTTAACGCTAAATATAGCCAAGCATTTAATTTATCGAATTTGTCGTACAGGTGCTGAATTCATTTGCTTTTTAAATTGTTGACAATTTACATTTAAAAATCTTGAAGCAACTAAAAAATTTTAGGGAAAAAATAAATATTGAAGTCAGAAAGAAAGAAAAAGGTTCACGAAGCACGAATCCAAAAAGCGGGGATGAAATTGAAATTTCACAGAAATAAGTGATCAGCTACATAAACTTCAGCGCTTGGTAAAACTCAGACTATAAAAAAAACGGAGAACAAAGACGAGGGAAATTTCATTTTACGAGTCATCCATCCTTCTTTACATATTAATTATATTTTTCATTTTTGATGCAACTAATCTTTGCCGTCGCGTCATATACCAGTAATTCTTCGGCGTATTTCACACATATTTTCCAATCTTCCAGTAGCAATGTGCCTAATAAATGCAAAATACAAAATACAGTGACTAAAAATTTGTTGATAACGCAGATGGTGTGAAAGATAGTAATAATAAATGGTGAGAAATCAAGACGGAAGTGATATTTCACCAGAAATAACCCCTGTTAATTCTGATACAGTATCTTAATTATTGATAACTTGAAATACTGCATCACACAAAGGTACCTGTAGCATGAAAATAGGAAAACATCTGAAGGAAGGGCAAATGTAAGTCGAAATATACCGATTTCTAAGAACGAAAGATTACACTGCAAAATGTAAAAGTAAAAGATAACCATAAAAGATAAATGAAAATTTTATTTTATTTTATTATGACACTTCTATTTTCAATGAAATAAGATTTAACTTTAATATATAAATAAATTATCCATATTTTCTATTATTTATCGCGTCTAAATGTTCCAATAAAAAAGAAAATGAAAATAGGATGCTGAACCAGGAATATGCCCAGATATTTCGAAGGAACAACAAGAAGCAGCTAGCAAAAAGAATTTCTAAATTTTTTTTTCAACGGAATTAATTCCGCATCAGGGTTAGAATTTTTTAACAGGTAGATACTGCATGATAATATGACACGAAATAAGAATCTAAACAAGTAAGAAAGTTCAAGAAAGCAACAAAACAAAACAAACAAAAATGGAATATAATTCGGTATTACTAGTTTTTTTTCCGAATTTTAGTTGGCGAACACTCATCAGTTGCTTCGGACAATGACCGCTTTAACATATTCCCTTGATCTCCATCCTCCTGTCCTGTAAAAAAATCGTTTAAATTGAAAAAAGGGAATCCAGCACATACACTTTCGTTTCTTTCTTAGATTAAAAATGCCTTTCTGTATTGTAACAAACATGTAAGCAAACTAAGCATTCATGAACGAAATTTGGCAGTGTTTCACAATACCTGCAGGATCTTCTGAATGCTGAGGAACTTCCGAATTTCACTCAAATTTAAATAAAACATAAATCAAGCCAACCGTTTGTTGCACTAGTGTCAGTATCCATTACTATCACAAATTCATCAGCCTTCAACTCACTAGCATGTTGAATACGAATCCGAATTTCCAGTCTTTGCAAGAAATCATCGCATTCTAAGATGCAACCATGAATGACACCGACTTTTTCCAGAATTCGTTCACTGATAGCTAAAAAATTGAAATCGGTAATCAAGAATCATCTGAAAAGTTCTTTCATCTGCATCAGCAATATTGATATTGTTTTAAAAAACTGTAAAAATTGTTTACACATTTGTATGCGAAGGTAATAATGTGCCGAAGCTCCTGCGAGGCATTAAGTTATGAGACAATTATTCCCATCTATAGCAGGGGTTGCGTCTCTAAGTTGTACAAGAACATTAAATAAAGCATCTGATCTTTCATGGAAACTGTTGTGGCTATCACTCTAGTAACACGGCTGAAATAAGGTTATTCAAAAAAGCTTTAACAAGACTGTATAGCTTGTAAGCGCAGTCTCTACTATAGATGAAAATAAGCGCTTCATAACTGATACTGTGTAAAAACTTCAACATACTGTATTTGTATGCGAAGGTTAATACAGCAACGTGATAACCCCCGCATATGAATATGTAAACAATTTTTATAATTTTTTAAACAATATTAATATTGCTGTCGCAAATAGAACTGTTCCCATGATTCTTACTTACTGATAAGAGTGAAAGAAAAAAATGCTGCATACAAAACAGCAAAATGAATGCTTACCTTTGGTTTCACCCTCTTCACTCGAAATAACGATATTGCCAGTTAGAGAAATCATAACATCAGGTGCCACCATATGCAAAATTCCTTTTAAAAATTTGTTTTCCAAAGACTGAACAGTAGTCAACTTAGTATTTAATTTTAGAGTTATTTCCCGTCGTTCCGAACAAACGTAACAATGTTTATTAGGTTTGCAAGGCACTTCGTCAGTTAAAATTTTGCCACGAGGATTTGGCTTCGGTTTTATGAAAATCTGAAAAAAGAAACCTTATTCGTTTTAGTTAAGCGAAGAAATTCTTAGTTTCATAAATGCAATGAGTTCTGACAGTGGTACTTTATTTATATAAATTCCAATTTTTTGTTTGTCTAGAATATATTTTCATTGGACAGCAAAGCATTAAACGATCCTAACAATGTGTAGAACTAGAAGTGGATTAATCAATTAAAACACATGCCACTTTCGTAATAAGTAAACAAAAACTAACATTTCGCAATTTATCCTTTGCACCAAAAACAACTTTTAACGCTTCAGTAACAATCATTCCCGCTACTATAGCGTTAGTAGTAGCAATAGCTGGTATTATATTGCCCGCCATCGCTATAAAATAAAATACATGATTTGATTTTTGAAAACCATTTCTCTTAATTCGCACTCAATCAGTCCTAAGGATCATCAAGTTTTCGGCATTTTTTCAAAGCAGAAAAATGTCATTTATTTTGAACTTTTTGGATTGAATACAGAGGCACATGATTTTGTTAGTCTACTTCATTAAAATAGTTTGCTAGCAAATAAACTGCAAAAAAGTTCTATTAAAATTCGAAATCAAAATGCTACTAAATATTTTTTCACAAACTTACATTTTATATCAAAAAGCGTTCTGAGAGGAATGCTAAAGATATGAGCACGAAGATTAGCACATGCTGCTACAAAACGCATTGCTGGTTCATCATCCTGAAGGAAAGATATTTTCTTTTCAAAACTCGATTTGATCCTTCTATTCTTTGAACAAACAAAATATATGAAACAGACATTTGACAAATAACAAGACGGAACTGACTTATTAATGCAAAAGATTTGTATATTTTAATGAAAGAAAAATAAAGAAAACCTTATCCCATGACAACACTGATCCATCTCTAATACGTTTACTCAATGTAGACACAGCCTTCTCAAATTCATTCTTACATTGCAACACTGTCCAAAGTTCCGCATTTGGTTCGTTGTTACTTGAACTTGCAACTAAATAACTCGTAACATGAAATTTCTACACCATCATATAATAGCCGACAATGATTTTTGAAGATAGCGTATTGCTTAGTAGCTCTCCTCGACTTTCTTTTAATTATATTCAAATTTTTAGCTTTTCTTTCCTTAAAATTAGCTGAAGATGAAGGGTTTCAAAACTACGAAATGCAAACAATCATCTGAACTCACTGTTCTACAAGAATTAAGAGTTAAATCATATTAAAGTCGCGCACGATGTTTATGCCAGGATAGAAGCTTACTTTCATTCGGAAGATTATCCCAATCCAATGGAAACGGCTTTCTTCTTTGTTTCCACAAATTCGTCATACTCAAAAGATAATTGATATCATTGTGAAAGAACTAAAATGGCAGTAGTAAAGGCATTTCATATAAAAAATAATAACTTCCATAATTTTAAAAGTTTTGCAATTACTGGAATCGAAATATGGAAACAAAGGCTCGAATATTTCTTTTAAATTAGCAGAAGTCCTACTCCACAAAAATTTTGTCGCATTGAGAAGCGCATAAACCCTTAAGAAATCTTATTAGAAACAAACTTTTCTGAAAAGAATTTTTGGATCGTAACTGTTTTCAGCAGCCCATTTCCGTGTATTGATCCTATTCAAAATCTCGCAATTGTCGCCATGCATAAACGGACCATCGTTATCGTTCTCTTCCATATTTGGAACTGCACTTCCATTCCTTCCATCATCATTTATACTAGAACCATCTAGATTTTCTTCATCTGTTAAATCCGGAGACACTTCATCATCATCATCTGGCTCACCGAAAAGTTGACTGAAAACGAAGCTACTGCGTTGCATTATTTTGACTAACATTTCATTTTTCGTTATTCATACATAATAATCGACTGGTAATGCATATGCTCTAACCAAATATAGAATTAAAAATAGCTCTATACAACCTAATCAATATAGGAATTGCAAAAGATAAAAAACCACGTACTTAAAAAGGTGCTTTGCCCAAACAATGCAGTGAATATGTTCCGATGGTGTGTTACGAATTGTACATCCAGGATATGTTTTTTGCGCTGTCTTTGGATTACATTCATAACATTCAGTGTAATCACGAATTATTGGACGTACCTGAATTTAAGATCAATTTCAACCAGGTTTTCATTTATAACACCTTAGAACAAAAGATACTTATTACGCTACGAATATATGAAATAAAGATGTTAAACTTGCATGTCCCAAATAACCAGAAGAACCGCTTTCAATTAAAGGGACTCGAGCTGCTAAGCACAGTCTATTGATATGATTACGTGCAGCTAAAATAGAAAAATTTTTAAAGTTCTAAAAATGACCAAGAAAATTGGGAAGAAAATCATTCAGAGAGAAGAGCTGTCTTTTATCACTTTTAGTAGGAGCAATTTTGAAAATTTTGGAAAATAAATGTCTTAACTTTACCTACCTATGTTGTCCAACGCACTAAGAACCACTGTGAATTTTTGAAAAAAGTCAACACCATATTCTTCTCTGAAATTATGAAGAAAGTATTGTATGGACTTCTGAACATGCACACAAAATTTCTCAAATTACGGGATATTCGACATTGCCAAACATTCTGTCAAAGGATTTTTAAAAGATGTCGTAACAGCAACCTAGCAGATTATTTTTGCAGCTTGTTAGGTCGATAACTCAAAGACAATTATATTTAAGAAATACTCCCTGAAAATCAGAAACATACTTTAGCACCGAATCATGGTAGCACACAATTTTTACGTTAGGTGCAATTGCTCGAACTGCTTCTGCAGCAATAACCGCCTTCGGTTTACCAACGTGTTCACGACGAAACAAAAACTGCCGATTCAAATTGCTTACATCAATTGTATCCAAGTCAATCTGAAAATGACAGCAACTGATTAAAATATGCAATGTTTAATCCACAATGAAAGCAAACAGAATCACTTTAATTGTTATCCCCATATAATTATCATAGAAATAATTTCCAAAAATTCAAATAAACAATCTCAGGTTGGAAAGTACATGACCTATTTCTCAACCATAATCAATAAATATATTAGCTAGAAATTCACTCATTTCTATTCACTTAGCTATACCTGCCCAATATCTGGCGTTTTACATTAATCAAATGTTTTTTTGATATGCAAAAGTTTGCGCGATTACTGCTGTCATAACATAAATGCAAAAGTTTACAATTTCAATATTGGAAAAGCCGGTTAAGGCTAAATTTTTCAACAATTCGCAACCAATACCACCAACTCCAACAACCAACACAGGACATCGCAAGACTTCCAAGAACTGCTCGTTTTGCCAAGTCATTATATTATTCCTGGAAATATTGCCATTTATTAGTCGACAACTCTTCCTAAATGGCATGAATTAATCACGATGAATGCTAAACAAATAACCATTGATTGTAACTATCATTTATGAAATTAACTGACATTAATCTGTTGATTTGTCAGTGTCAAACATTTGTTAGGCCATCAAACCTAATTTGGAGCATTCTCATTTTTTTGCTTTTTAGTTCCGTCAACTTCGAAGCTCCTGGAAATCAAATAAACAATCTTGAGATGAAAAGTACATGATTATTTCTAATCATAATCAATAAGCTACAAACCCAGTCATTCCCGTTTATTCGCCTATCCCTCTCCAACCTCACCAACTCTCTGCCGCAGCAGACCGCCATACACAACCTTGCAATCGTCACGAGACTCGGTTCTAAGTAAAGTAACGCAAAAATCAATTCTTGCACAAAAACCATCGCATTTCCATGTATGCGAATTATTCGCTCGTGCGATTTATATGGAAGACGGAGACGCAAACAGCGCGGCGTAAGAACTCGTAGATTATGGAAGTGCTTCAAGAGTCATTTACCGTGGCTTTATTTTTTAATTAGTTTAATTAAAAGTGTCAAACAAATGACAATTCGTAAATTGTGGAAGTGTCTCAAATGTTATTTATGGTGGCTTTATTTTTTTAAATGAATTTAGTGAAAAGGAATTTAATTATGCAAATGAGTTTCACTCTGTTGTTCGAATAATTCGGTTTCACTCTTGTTGAAGAAATTCAAATGGTTCAATTTTACTTTTGCCAATTATAATGAAGAAGAAAATGAAATACACAGCTATCAGAATAGAGGCTGTTTCAAAGAAATTTAATAAAAATAAATTTTTCTTTGAACCAAAAAGAATGTATTCTGAATATATTCTTTTTTATTTGCAATGAATATACCGGAAACAGCATTTCAAAGTAAAATTAAAATATCGATCAAAAAAGATCTGAAAGAATCTGAGGGGAAAATAGGATGAAATCTTTAAACGGGTAACTATGCTTGTTACTAATGTGATGTTTATATCAGAGAACAATAGCGCTGCATGCGTTGCCACATCAGGAATAAATTCAGAATTTATACAAAAATAATAGCTCTCACTTTAAATGTAAAGACACTTGTCTGCTTTGAAAAGATGAGAAAATTTGGCGATTCTTAGCAAAAAGCTTTTGAAAGACACAACTATTTTCCACTCATAACATTAATATGGCCGATCATATTTGAAATTCTCCATACTTAGTTCACTTTCGCCAATTTTTGTTTCGTCAGGCCTTCTTTGTACACGATCATTCTCATTCATATCACCAGATGCTATCCTTAAAAGCATATAATTAATGAATGCAACTCCTGAAATTTCAATTCTTTATAATGAAAACTCCGAAATCCCTTATGGTGAAATAAATGTCAAAATTTATTAAATTAGAAAAAAAATTTTACCTGCCTACGATGATACTATGCAGTGAAAAAACAAAGAATCCAATGATATAAATAATGAGAGCAGCACTTAAATAAGGTAAATATGGAAGTAACGGTCCATTGAGCCAACTGAAGGAAAACGTTACTCAGAATATAAAATGAGGACATACTTATTCGTCTTTATAAATTGATCAGAATATTGTCAAAATCAAAACTGTAAAACATAATTTAAAGGGAATCCCTTAAAAATCCAAATCCAAAATCATTTTGTTCCATTTATCTATTGAATAAGCTTTGTTATCGTCCAATACAAGTTAAAAATTGCACTTTACAGATAAAATTAAGTGCAAGTAATGGCACCTCTCGACTGCAAGTTTAATGCTAGGCCTCGGCGGCATTTCCTGACGCCGTTTATATCGTTCCCGTTCAGCCTGGTAAAATTTTTCCCAAAACTGATCATCCCGTTCTTTCTGAGCTTTTTCATATTCTTCCGCGCGACGTTGTAATTCTTCAAAAACCTTAAAAAATGCAAAAAAACTGACTGAAAAAACCAAAAAAAGTGAGAAAAAAATAATTTTTCATTCTGAGAATAAATAAAAAACAGCCAGTCTCCACTTCACAAAATTTTTTTTCCTAATTCTTTCAGTAACTTTCGAAATAACTTCTCAATTATCTTTCTTTTTTTTTCACTTGTTTTTTTCTTCCTCTGATATTATAATAATGATACCAAAAATTACGATGATACTGTCTAAATCTTGTTGAATTATTACGAAATTTCAACCTTTTTCAAATGAGCATCATCGTATCGCCAACTACTACGATAATAGTTGGTACCAGCATAACGATTACTTCTCCTACTGCCATATCCAGTACTTTGTTTCTTATAAGTTTGTCGACCATATTCACAACTGGTCTGTGCTCGATATGCATCGTACTCATTGCGACTATCTACATCTTTCAGCACATCATATGCTTCTTTAATCGCGATAAATCGTGCCGTAAGGTTGCTCTCAGGAACACTCCCAGTGACATCCGGATGATACTGAAATTACAGAATATGATTACTTCTTTAAAAGAGAATTAATCTTCAAAATCTATAGAGATTGTCACCCAGAAGTAAATGAAATTATCAAATACAACTACAAGTACAGAAACATGATTTTGTGGATAAGGGCAAAGATATGGTACAATACCATGACAGGATTATTTTAACAATTTATGCACATATTTCATGCCAAAATATTTTGGAAAAAAAACAATTATTATTCATAAACTCATATTATCACACTACACCTGCATCACCTAATTTGTTGATTCGATTACAGTAGAAATTTCCTATTCACTTAATTTACCTAAATTTCAAGAACATTTATTCAGATTATTTGCATTTTTTTCTAACTTTCTTGGACAACACATAGAAGGCATTCTTGATTTCTTGTTGTGTGGCGTTATGGCTAACTCCCAATATATCGTAGTAATTTTTCTGATAATCAATTGCTTGTCGTAACAATCGATTAGACCAATAAAGAACTCGTTTCACTAAGATCAATCGATATCCAGAAAACATAGTGAAAATGATTTGAATCATTCGATTGTCTAATAATCTATTCCATCAATTCGTCATTATACCATTTCCCGATATATA